TGGTTCTCAGCTTCGAGGTCCGTGTTGCTCTGTGTAGCTGCATTCTTGTCTTCCGCTTCACTTTGTGAGGGTCCGGTCACAGCTCTAGTTTGTGGGTGAGATCCGAAGCAATGGTAACATCAAAGCTACAGATACTCTGAGGAACAGCATTCACATATTTGTGAAGGCCGTCTACCCACCTAGTCAGAACATCCGTCTTTCTGCACGAGATCATCGAACTGTGACAGGATCATCTCCTCCAGAGGGTCGCGTACGCCACCATCGTCAGGACTTCGCGCCGAGATGATCTCCTGCTGCCGCGGAGAAGAAGTGGACGACGAATAGTCCTGAGACGTCGGTAACCTGTTCCCACCGAACAGCTTCTTCGATGCGTTACTCAAGGCCCTGTCGAGGGCATTCGTAGCCGCACGCGACGCAGCGCTGGTGGGCGAAGACGACAAGGGAGGACTGTTGAAATTCGGCAGCGGAGGGAACATGATGTCAGACTTGGGTTGTCCTGCGTTGTCCTCTGGATACGGCACGTTCGCGCCCACGTCAACCAGAGGCCAAAGCGACGCTCGGCGATCGGCGCTTCTGTGCAGGCAGAGGCTTACGTCTCAAGCCGCTGATCTCTGTTACTTTGTCAGCAGCCTGACAGGGATACTGCGATCAGGAATTCCTTACTGGGAGGGAAGACGACCTTGGGATCCAACACTTCCACAGGAATCTGACGATCAACCTCAGCAGTGGACGTAGGCTGGACAGACTCCTCGCTCGGCCATGCTTTTCGACTGAGTCCTACTAGTATGCACAGACGACAAAGACAAGCATGTCTTCGACGGGCGTGGAAATTTCGACTTCGCGAGCGCGGTGCTCCCGAAGAACTCCTCGAAACTACAGCGCTCGATAACCTCGCGCTTGAGCAGGCGCCGGGTGAGCTCTTTGACGTCGGGGGGGACGGGCTTCAGATAGTCGGACTACTTGCTCGGATCCTCGGCGGGGAACTCGATCCCTTTGGACCGCTCGATCTTCTTCAGCAGTTCGACATGGTTGTTGGCGCGGAAGGGGGGAGTGCCGACGGCCATTTCGCACAGGACTGCGCCGACGGACCATAGGTCGACGCGGGCGTCGTAGTGCTTGTAACTCAAAATCTCTGGTGCCATCTACAATCTACGGAGAAATTAGTCTTGTGTTACCTGCTATCGAACGCATGTCGCACGGTGAGTCGCAACGCGTCTCCGCCATCATCGCGATGGGTAACGAGCGAGCGAAGCCAAAGTCAGCGATCTGAAGGATGGGGACACCTAGCGGATGTCCCCTGGCTAACTCCTCTGGACTAGCAGACTTAAGCAGCAAGTTCTGCGGCTTGATGTCTCGAGGGATGAGATTCCTATGTCGGAGTTATTTGAGCGCGCGGGCTGCACTTTGTCACATCACATGCAAGATGTTTTTGGAGGGAGAAGGACGTACCGAGTTGTCTCAAGAAACTACGGACGACGATCCCATCCAATCCACATGTCCGCGGGTAAGGGTAGTACTGTGGAGGCATACCTGGACCTCGGATGCACTCCAGTCCCTCGACTCTACCCCGCTTGCGCATGTAGTTTGTCAAATCGTCCCCAGCGCAGTACTCCATAATCAGATAGATGTTGTGCTCCGCATTCTAGTAGACGCATTAAATAGGACAAGCTGTAGGGACAGAGTACATACGATGATGTCAATAAGCGTCGTGATGTGACGGGGTGTGCCCTTGACGATGTCTATCTCGCTCTGTAAGTTATCCAGCAGTTTCTGATTCAGACCGCTCCGCTTGATAGTCTTGATAGCGACGTCCCGATGTGTTTCTGGCCGAACGGTCATGCTTCGTAGTCCCGCTCGTAATATCGTCACTCACCGGATGATAGCCCTTGTACACGATCGCAAAGCTCCCTTTCCCTAGACTACTCACAATCACATACGGCTCACTATTAGCATCGCTCACAGCCGCTGGCATGCTGCCTGTAGTCTCGTTCTTGATTGTATTCGGTGATACAGTTGCGATCCGCTCAGACCGAATATCACAGCAAATGTCTTCTTAATGCGATGCCTAAGTCGGACATTTGGTTTCGACAAGCCAGGCCCGCTGCGTCTGTCGAGCACGATACAAGCGTAGAGTAAGCTGTGACGAGCGGCAGGCGGCAGCGACGATACAACAGTTGGCCAAGATCTACTTAATGCCGATTGTAAGAGGCGCGCGGTATGCGGGTCCTTGGGGTAGCTCCTCGTATACCTCTTTGTCCTTAGCCTTTGGTAGCAACTATTTACACAACGTGCACTTGAAGTTCTTCTCTAAACCTTCATCCACATATAATACAGCACTACGAATCAAAGAAATGAGCCGTTTCAACTGGCAGCCATCCTGACCAGTGTGACGGAGACGCGACGTTAACGCCACGCGACTCGGACGCGACTCGCCACACAAGCCTGAATATGGTGGCGTGTGGCCTATAAGCAAATTCATCGTACATCTGACTCCCACTATATCTTGCCTTACAATTATCAACCTCCCGGGTACGTTCATGTCCGTCGAATCTGTCAAGACGATGTCGGTAGCAGAAACTTTAGTACCTTTTCTTGACGAGTTGTGTGAAAGTAAGCCCTCCGCTACCACATTCTACCACTCTCCATGCCTGACCTAAATTGCCATAGCCTCACGGACAGTCATCTCAAAATCAGTTGTCCGCCGGTGTGAGCCTCGAATTCGTATAAAGTAACTGTCGACAGTGTTAGAATGGGAATGCCGAAACAGATGAATGGAATGAAGGATCTTAGAGTCCGGACAAACGAGGTGAGATTCCTGCAGTGGATTGTTCGCGATAACCATTGAAAACTCCGGCGTCTCAACCACTGTCAGGCACACTGAGTGCTGATGCCTGATGCCAACCATTAGGAGTTGGACCTACTTACACGGCGTTCCACGCCTCCTCTCGCATGCGCAGGCGTCCACTGACGCAGATATTCGCATGCCAACGGGCTGGGACATGTTATGGCCGCGCCTAAATATCTCTCGTTGCCGCTGGAGGACCATACATAGGCGAGTTTCGAATGCGGCGACAACCAAACGTCGTGGCTAGGTCAAATAATTAGTGGTCCTGTCAGTACTCGCCCTCGGCATTCTCCTCCAGCCACTCATGCGATGTGAGCATTGATCATGGGATTCGTAAATGCCAAGGACCATCCGCATGGACCGCACTGACAGAATCAAGATGGATTAACTTCAATACACACCAGGACTATAGCGCCAGCGATTTTTCCTGCTCACCAGAACTCTGTACAGCCTTGCTCGGACTTCCATACCTTTGTGCCATCTCTTCGCGAGTCAATGTAAGTCGTGCTTTGTACATATGCGGGCAGCCAGTTGAGACTCACCTATAACTGACTGTAGAAGAAGCACATGCCAGTGGGGAAGATACCATCCACGTCAGAGACAACGAGCACTTCTGGGGCGGATTGCTCATGACTCACAACAGATTCTCTTCCAGTACTCGCGAGGTGGCGCCTGCCCCACACTGGTACATTGTTGCGGTCCCCCCACATGATATCAGGACGAAACGGGATATGCCGATATCAGGCAGTCGCGCACCAGGGTGAAGGAGGGATTAATGTATCGCATTCATACACAAGGCGAAACGAGGCATCGGTGTCTCGTATTCACCCACCATGGCAAAACGAGACATGGACGTCGCGCACCAGGACGATACATCAAGGGACTGGAACGCCGCCCGGCTCATGCAGCTCGAGTAGGCCAAGGTATTCACCAGAATCTATGCAGGCAAGAAGAGCGCGCTACGTCAAAGCTTCACCTCCTAAGCCCGGGACCTCCATTACGTTTATGCGCCAACGCTGCGCATCGACGTGGCTGCACAATGAACAAACAGAGGCACCAAGAATTACACACCATCTCATACCGCATGTCGCCTCGCAAGTTATGTGAAATCTTCTCCCGAGCAACACTGAGTTTCCACCACCTCCCATCCACAGACGCCCCGATACACCCGGAATACGGCTTCGCCTCCCGTGATATCCTTAACCTCATAAACACTACCGCATCCAAGGAACTTCGCGATCATGGAAAGACCACTCTGCCACTGAGTATACTGCGCAACGACACGGCGGGCCCTCCACGACAGCGAAGCACTCCAGGCCTACTAGTACGATTCGCGCCAGGCATGGTCCAGGAAACGCTCGAGACAAACGGCTAAGGAGGCGGACTGCTGCAGTAAACGTTGAGCAAAAAAAAAAGAACGAAGATAGAAAAGGTGACCCTTCCTCGCGAGTCGACGCGCATGCGCAACGTTTATGGCTTCAAGATGACCCGCCATCGGATAGGACCCCGATCATTCCAACTCGCGCTCAGCGCCTACGATGGTTTCAATAGACTTTGCGAGAAGGCAGCTGCTATTATAACGATAAAAAATACGTTTATTATGTGTTTGATACCCATAGAATACGCCCGTTGACGACTTTATCAACCTTAGCTCGTGACTTCGCAGTTGCCGGTGACGTGTAGAGAGCGACATGCCTGACAGAATACCACTGGATTTTCTGGATATTGTCACTCTTCAGGAGTTCTGCAAAACGTGAGTTCCACGCTGCATCTATTCATCCCTCTTCCACCGACAGGATCTGAAGACGGGTGATGAATAGCAGCTCCCCTGATCCCGCCATATCTTCGCAAAAGATTGCGAACTGGATTGATTGGCTGTTGTTGGTAGGATCAACTCTTCACAATTGAACAACACGAAAACACACACAATGCCCAGGTTCCTCTTCTCCCAATACTACTGCCACAAAATGTAAGTCAATATGTATAGTAGTATGAAAGGCAATGCCTGAAAGGGGAGTTGTGCGGCGGAGGGATTTGCGTGCCACATAGCGTGCCTCCGGTGGCAATCTTGCCAAACCCCCCCCTTGAAAAATAAGCTCAGCGGTAGGTATATTTTTCGTCAATTACTATTAACGCTGCCACTGCTGTAGAATACATTTGACATTAACATAACAGGTAGAAGACCGTGGCATATTGTATGCGTCGAGAATGTGGCTGAGATCTGAGATATGTGATTATCCCTTGGCCATCGAAGTCGGAGTTTGTCAAAGTGGTCACCCGCTTGGGTGCGTTCAACCACCAGTCCCTTCCTTGCAACTAACGATAAATTGCTCTTCTGGAACGCCATGTCCACTTCATGCGCCACAACCTATTATTCTCAAGCTTGCGGGACGACACTTGACGAGAACAATTCCTTCGATCGCGATAACGCATGGTCCTGCTTTCAAGATGTGGCATTTATGATGGAAGAGGTGAATATATAAATACCCTCACTGTACGCCTTCTTACTGCGCTTCGCTTCTCAACCACTGCAGACCCAGATACAAGTCAACCAAAGTTATCAGTGGCTCGACTGTAGTGACTGTGGCTCGAGTGGGCATCAGAGTATGGTACGTACTACAGCTACTCATCACAGTTGTCGTACACGACGCGTCCATCTTAAACCAAATGACTAACTGCATACCTACAGCCTGTTACACGCTTGCAGTTGTTTTCGATACCTCCCGTTTATGTTCCGGGCTCGATCTATGGTGCCACAGCAGGCGGCAGCCTCGGCAGCGAAGGATCGCAG